AAAGGTCTTGTGCAGCAGATTTCCCTAATGCAATATATCATTTGATTTCCTGACTGTTGCTTCCATGAGTGTTGATGGTGGAGCCAAGCAAAATGAAGTCTTTGACAACTTCAATCTTTTCTTCATTTACCATAATGTTATTTATTGATCCAGTGACGAGGATTTTTGTGTTCTTTACATTAAGGTGTATGCCATACTGAAGACAGAGTTCTTTCATCTTCATCAGTCTTAAGTATTTTAAATCCTCTTCCCTTTCAGCAAATAAGGGTGTATCGCCTGCTTATCTCTCAGGTTGTTGATGAGTCTTCCTCCAATCCTGATGCCATGTTCTTCTTCATATACTCTTAGCTTCTCAGATTATTTTTTCAGCATACAGATTGAATAAGTATGATGAAAGAATACAACCCTGGTGCACACCTTTCCTGATTTTTTTTTTTTCAAGTTTTTATTGTGAATTGACTGACAGTTTACATGGGGGAACACTCTCCTATCCTATCATAATTTGTTTCATTGCAATGATTACAATCCCCTGCATGTTTTATCATTCAACAGTATTTGCTCCATGAGTCCAGAGTCCTCAGCTGCTCCATCTCCACGTCACCTTCTTTTTTTTGTTTTTTTAATGTTTTATTGTGAGTTATGTGATAGTTTACGTGGGAGAACATTAGTTTTACATTCAGTCTTTCATATATTGTTACATTGCCATGGTTACAGTCCCCTCCATGCATCATCAACCAACCAAAGGGTATTCCCTGCAAGCCTGTCCCCCACACCCCTCCCCCCGCTCTTCAGCACACAGTCCCCCTCCCTCTCTGGATCTCAAGTCCCCAGCTGCTCCACCTCTCCACGTCATCTTCTCTGTCTCCATCTCAGGCATTGCTGTTTCTCTGGGTAGGGTCCCGCACTCCGCTCTTCTCCGTTAATGGTCCTAGGGACCTCCGCTTCTAGATTGGAAAGTTAATCACTCCCCTCCTTGCTATAAAACGTCTACCTTTACATTTCCAACCCTCACAATCAGTCCTGATAACAGTTACTCACTATTGTATCACAAGAGACCCATCTGTATTTCATTCACCACTTCTTTAGGTAGGGTCCCACACTCCGCTTCTGCTCTTCCCCCTTGATGGTCCCAGGGTCCTCCGCTCCGGAATTGTAACATCAACCACTCACCCCTTTTTTCTACAAAACTTCTACCTTTACAGTTATGACCATCACAGTTAGTCATAATAACAGTTACTATTGAATCCTAATAGTCTTGTCCCCATCTCCTTGTACCAAACCCATCCAGACAAGATGAAAACTACTCAGTAGGGATTCCACCTTCCCCTGCATACTCTGAATCTAAACTCCCTTTTGAAAACTTGTAAGCCAGTCACTTCTTGCCTTTACAACGCCCCAACCCTCATTTTAGGTACCCATCCCTATCAACCCTGTGTACAGAGGGGATTGTAATGATCCTTGCTGTGAAGAGTCCTTCCCTCTTGGTTGGTATTTTAAGTTACTACATCCATAAGTATAGGTCAAGTTCAGCAGATTGTAGTGATTTACACTTGTTTTCTTTATCTTCCTCTAGTTGGGTTCTGATCATCCAGCCATTGAAGGTGTCTAATGGGCACTATCTGCAAGTTTGGGCATTCTTGTGCATCTGCCCTCACTTCATATCAGCCGGATGTTTCACTCTCAGCTCTAGCCCTCCTTGGCTTTGCTCAGGAGTCCCCAGGTCTTACCACACTTTGGGCCAACCAGTTCTCACCATACTCCAGGTTGACGGAAGTCTCTGTAATGTGGTTGGACTCAGCCCACCTCTTCATTGCTGCTTTTCTCCCATGTCCACTCACCAGTAGACCAATGTGGTCACCAGCCACAATACGTGCCTACTCATGTGTTCCCTTTGAGTTTCAGTCTTGGAGGGGGGTTTTCCTGAAGGGACTTGAATTGCTTGCCTTGATGGCTCCCCGGCAAACAACTTGTTTATTCTTGTGGTAGCCAATCAGACTGTCATTTTTGTTTTGGCTTTTCCTGCTGGTCTTTCTTTCAAGAAGTATCTTCTGTTCCTTTAGCTGCTCCAGGCTGGTCTGCTTGTCTTTTCAAGTGGAAATTTCCCACCTCAGAAGGTTCTGGATGGGGGGATCAGGATTCCACGTAAGGTCTTATACACTGCAAAGGCTCCATAAGAAGTCTCTTTCACTGGGCAAATTCTAGAACCCCTTTTAGGTATCCCAATCAGCCATTCAGTGTCCCCTTGTCTGTTCAAACAACTGCCTATTGGTCTATGTATAGGATCCTCATGAGCACAGTTAAGTTTTCCAGAATACTCATTTTCTGTAATGTTGTCCATAGCTTGTCATGATTAACACAGTTGTAAGTCTTTGCATAATGAATAAAGCACCGGTAAACATCTTTCTGGAATCAAGGTCCACGTGACATCACCAGAGATGTTCCATGTCCTTGTCTGAATCTGGCTTGAACCTCTGGCAGTTCCCTGTCCCTGTACTGTTG